AAATTAACTAATAACAATAANAGTACGTGACTATAGTATCGTACAGATATATATATATTATATATATATATATATATATATATATATGACATAATCTAGAGGAGCCTTTAGAATAAATGTAGCTTTGATATGTTTTGATACTTGGTCGAAAGTCTGAAGATTCTCTCATTTCTGGTAGCATAAAAGGAACAATAGGGATTTGGTGATTCTAACAGAGTGTTGTGTTTCCAAATTTTGATTTGAGATATTTAACATGCCATTTCTGATTATTAGCCTCAATCAGCCGTTGCTTATTGATATTCCCAAATTTCAGATTTGCATCAAAGTGCTAGAATTTATGAAAGAATCTCTTTAAGATGCTCTCCTGATTGTAGCCTTAGGTATCTTGTGCTTATTCATTTTCCTAATTTGACCTTTTCAGGATGTGGTAGAAATTATGAAAGAATCTCTTTATGACAAATTTGTTGATGAGCATGGGTTTGTTGATTTTGGCCGGAGTGGTGGTATGAGTCAACAGAAGGAAGCAAAACGGTTTTTAGCTGCTCTCCAAAAACAATCCGAGTTGCATAAGAAAGATTGCTTTTCAGTGTCCGTATGTATCCACTCTACATATATAATTAACTGTATAGAGTTTTACGTGTTTTAATCCCTATGTGATGTGTATATATGTAATATAGGTCACAACTTTGACATTTCATGAGATCCATATTTTTGTTACGCTTAGAGAAAGAATACAGCGGACACTTTTATATGCCTTCTGGATCTTGTTGGGGACATGTGGGAGAGTGAGCGAGAACTCTTCATGAAATGTGCATGCATGTGACATTAAACACATGCACACATATACTGGTGCTCACAGTATGCTCATTCAAACAAAATGTCCGAAATGCATACTTTGCACTTCCATTGAAGTTCATGCACTTCTATCTTTGTGTTGCAACAGTTTTAATTGGTAAAGATAGAGAAAAGTAAAAGCCTTGGCATTCCAATGTGATGCACATTTTACCTTTGATGCCCTTAACTAAATAAATATACCAATATAGAAATATAGCAAGATTGTGCTTGTGATGCCACCTTTCGATGAATTTTTCTTGAAGGAAATGGTAAAGGAAATCGTGTGTTTGTTTGGAGGGCTCTTGCTTTCTATTTTCTACTTTCTTCTTGATCCTTCCTTCACATGATAGAAATCTCATTACCCTAAAGGTTTTAGTGTAATTTTTTTGTACCAGGAAATTTACAGTTTGGCTGATAAGATCGGCCTCAGAGTTCCAGACATGGATGTCTTTATAGAGAATCTGAACAGCAACGGTTATCTGCTTAAGAAGGGGCCAAAAACATACCAGGTAAATGCTTGTGCTAGTCACATTATTACTTCCTTTGCTTTGAAACAGTGAAATTATTGGCAAATGGTTTGGCTGCACCCAAAACCTTGGAGCCACACCTCATGCACCCATTTTTCCGAATGCTTGACGACACAAAACGCTCCAAAATAATTCCTTACCTCTCATAGGTCAATATCCTCATATATTTGTATGTGTGACACGCGCATGTGCATGTGCGTGTGCGACCTGGAGGATTTGGAACCTTAAAATTGTTCCATTTCTACTTCTATCGCAAAATTAGATCTCAATTCCCCATAGATTTGTGGAATTTGGAGGATCCTTTAAGGGGTTCAAATCAATGTTTTTGGGTTTGATGATGATATGCAGATGATTCGAAGTTTTATTAGGTTTTTACTGTATGGGGAAAAAAAAAAGAGTTAGAGGCACCACTGCAAGGGTTTTTGTTGCAGCAGCGGTTGCACTTTACATAATCTTGATATCTCAAAGGCAAAGGTTTTCATGAGTTGAGCAAAAAGAGTAGTCCAAATTATGGAAGTCTCCTTCATTGATACTTAAATGAGTAATATTTTGCTAATGTGATCCCCGAAATAAAGGAAATATGAAAGAGTATAGTTGACTCCCTATGTTATGATAAAATGATTGCATACACCCAGTTCCACCTCATCATCAGAGCCTCATCCCTACTATTTGGGGATGCAAACCAGTTTTAATGATTATGGTAGTTTAAAATGTTAAGGAATTTGAAATATCAACAGTCATTATCATCAAAGCCCTTTCCCAATTAATTGGAGTCGTCTACACGAATCCTGGTACACCATTCTGCTCTATTAAGGGCCATACTTTTAATGAGGCCATAAGTTTCCATATCTTTTCTCACTACTTCCAACCATGTCTTTTTGGGTCTACCCCTTCCTTTTTTGAGCCCTCCACTTGAATTAACTCGTACCTCCTAACAGGTGTTGTACTGGGTCTGCGCCACGCATGACCAGCTCACCTAAGTCTACTTTCTTTCATCTTATTGCTTATTGGTGCCACACTTAAATTATCTCAAAGGCATTGATTTCGAATTTTACCCCTTTTTGTCTTGTCACTTATCCATCTCAACATCCTCATCTCAGCTACACACATCATAAGGATACGTTGTTTCCAGTGTTTTAAAATGCGGCCGCATTGCTGCATATGCGGCCGCATCGCTGCATATGCGGCCGCATCATGCTGGATGTGCTCGCATCCGCATTGCGAACTGGCCCATATGCGCTTTTGACTGATGCGGCCGCATATGCGCCGTATCAGGCCGCATCATAGCTGCATTTCGCATCGCACTGCATCAGATCGCACTGCGTCGCATTTGTTTTCGCGAAATTTTTTTTCGATTTTGCCCTCTCAAGGAGGGGCAAAATGGTCTTTTTGTAGTTCCAAAGTTTAGGGAAACTATTTGGGTGGTTATTATGCCCACTAAACGAAGATTTTCAGCCACTTTTGTGGCTTTTTTTACATCAAATTGAAGGAAAAAAAAAATTTGGGAAATTTTTTTTTCATCTAAATCTTCGATTTGGCGGTTGTTTGATACTTGGATGTTCATTTGATGCCTTTGATTGTTGATTTGGGGATGTTAAGGTGAATTTGCGATAAAAAATTGGGGATTTCAGAGTTCGTGAAGAAATCGAGCACTATTTCAGATTGTCGGTAACTTTTTATTCCTTCTTGTACAATAATACTGTTATACTTATTTTTGGGGCAATGTCTTCTTCCCAATCTTCTAGTAACAAGGATCCGGCTTGGAAATATGCTAAACTAAAAAATCCGAAAGATAGATATTGTGTGATATGCTTGCTCTGTGGAAATACTTATATGGGTGGTATTTTTCGACAAAAAGAGCATTTAGCCGGAATTTCTAGGAATGTAAGAGCATGCCCACAAGCTACAAATGATATAAAAAAGGAGATTAGAGAATATTTGGATAGATTGAAAAAAGATAAAGAGAAAAAAACAAAAGAAAAGAAAGGAATTACTTGATGATATGCAATTATTTGATGATGATGATGATGATGATGATGATGATGATGATATGTTTGAAGTTGCTATGAGGCAAAGGGGTACTCATTCTCCAACCTCAAGAGAGAGGATTATAAATATTGGTGGTAGTGCTGAGAAAAGAACACCTCTCTTAAAGGGGCCAATGGATTCTTTTTTCACCCCTAACCCCGAAATTGTGGTTCAGGAGAGAAAGAAAAAAACAAAATAAACCACAGTTGACAATAAATATAAGAAAGAACAAAAAAGTCGGTATGTAAGTGGATTGTAAAGGGAATTTACATGGCCGACATTCTTTTTAATACTATAACTCTAGATAGTTTTGCATGTATAGTCCAGGCAATTGGGCAATATGGCTCAGGACTTATTCCTCCTTCACTACATGAGGTTAGGGAGCCCTTGTTGAAGGATGTTGTATTTGATGCAAATAAAATTTTGATTTCTCAGAGAGAAGGGTGGGAGAAATATGGGGCCACTATTTGATGGTTGGTTCGATGGGAAATCAAGGGCATTCGTTAATTTTTTGGTTAACTGCCCAACATGTACTTTTTTGTTAAGTCTATTGATGCATCAGATAAGTCACATGATACATACTTATCTGGCTTGATGGATGAGATTGTCGATTTTGTTGGGGAGTAAAATGTGGTACAAATTATCACAGACAATGGTGCCAACTACGCGACAGCTAGGCGTTTCTCGACTTTGAAAAGGAAGCATATGTTTTGAACTCCTTGTGCAGCTCACTGTGTTAATCTTATGCTTAAGGAGATGGGTACAACATCTTTATTTAGTGGGGTGATTTCAAGAGCCATGTTTGTTGTTGGATTTATTTACAATCACACCATAATCCTAAGCATGATGAGGTCTTTTACAAAGAAGAGAGAATTAGCGAGACCGGGTATCACTAGATTTGCCACATCATTTCTTACTCTTCAAAGCCTAGCCAAGCAAAAAAGTGCCTTGAGGTTTGCTTCAGAGCAATGGAGTCAAAGCAAATGGTTAAAGCATAAGGATGAGAGAAAGGCTGAAAAAATTATTCTGAATACATCTTTTTGAAGTCAAATAATTATTGCATTGGAGGTGGCTCGCCTTTTAGTGAGAGTGCTTCGACTGGTTGATGGTGATGCGAAGCCCGCCATGGGCTACATACATGAGGCGATGACTAGGGCAAGAACTGAGATAAAAGATGTTTTAAAGGATGATGAAAATATGCACGAGGCTATACTTGAAATTATTGATAAGAGATGGGATACCCAGCTTCACATGCACCTCCATTAAGCCCGTTATTTTCTAAACCCATCTCTTCACTACAAGCACCCATCCATTGAGTCAGATAGTGTAATAAATAGTGGGTTCTTAGATGTGTTGGAGAGGTTGGTGCCAGACAAACATATCCAGGATGAGATCCAGAGCCATGAATTGATTAAGTTCAAGTTAGCCTTGGGAAACTTGGGAGAGATATTGCCACTCGAAATAGGGACACTACAGATCCAGGTCAAGGCCAAAACTCCAAAAATAATCTTACTTGTCTCTTACTTTATTCCATTGTTTATTTTATACCCTTAATTTTTAACTATATTCTAAATTATAAAATATTATACCGCTGCATAGTGGGCATTATATAAAAGCGAGACACCAAATCTACGTCTCGTTATTCGAGTGTTGAATCTCACATGTAGCTCATCTTGTTGTGAGCACAATTGGAGTGCATTTGAGCATGTAAGTCCTTTACTCTTTATTCCTTAATCCTTATTTCTTGAATTTCAATTTTCTAATCTAAAATCTAATTTTTCTGATTTCAAATTCCTACAGTTCCATACAAAAAAAAGAAATAGGTTGGAGCAGAAAAAGTTGAATGATTTGGTTTATGTCTGGTATAGCGAGCAGCTTAGGGAGAGGTATGAAAATCGCACGAAGCTCAACCCTATTCAATTATATGAAGCTGATGGTGATTCCATAAGTGAGTGGACCATGGATCCAAGACAAGAGCGTGTGTTTGAGGGTAAGGATCTTACATGGCTTGATGTCGAACTAGCAACAGGGGCTAATAAAGAAGATCGACTTAACACTAGAGCGCAAAGGAGTAGAGGAGCTGCTGGGTCTAGTCGCACTTGCACATTAGCTTCAGAGGTCGAGGAGGAAGCTGACTCAGAGGAGACCGATGAAGAAGAATACATGGAGGCCGTCGAGGATGATATTGATGCGTATGACGACTCTCAAGATGACTTGTCTGATTGATATTTGAAAAAATGAAGTACAAATTTCAAAATTGACTCTCAAAATGGATGATTGTATTAAGTTATTATTTATTAACTATTAACTCTTCTTGAGCTTGACTTTTGATTTGTATTTTGTAATATCATTATTTTGTACTTATGGTTGTACTTATGGTTGTTGATGGTTGTGTTTAATTATAGTTGTGCTTATGGTGCAAATTTGTGTTGATGGTTGTTGATTGTTGAATGCTTTATGAAGCTGGTTTCAAGTTTCTAGTTTCTATCAAGGGATAGTGGATAACTGGAAACAGAATCCCCGACGGCTAATAGTTTTGAAGTTAATCATTAAACTAAAATACCTACTATCACATATATCACCTTCATATTTTTTTCTATGCATTAACTTATTTTTTTAGATTTTTTAGAATTTTTTTACATTTATTGGCCCCATCATCGCGATGCACCCACATCCGGGCCACTTAAAGCCGCATTGCTGCATCGGGCCCCCACCGCATCAGGGCCGCATCCCACATTTTAAAACACTGGTTGTTTCTTGACCACCCAACATTCTGCCCCATAAAACAAAGCTGGTCTCACAGTTGTCCTATAGAACTTTCCCTTCAGCTCCATTGGTATGCGGTGATCACATAAAACTCTGGTTGCATATCTCTACTTCACCCATCTAGCTCTAATTCTATGTGCGACATCTTCTTCAATCTTTCCATTTTTCTGGATTATCGACCCAAGATATCGAAAGTGTGCTCTTTTGATATTTCTTGGCCGTTAATCTTAACTACTTTCTCGTCTCTACTTCAATTATTACTAAACTTGCATTCCATATATGTTTGTCTTAAGTCTTGTTAATTTTAAAACATTTGGATTCTAGAGAATTCTTCCAAAGGTTTAACTTTGTATTGATATTATTTCGGGTTCATCGATCAAAACTGTCATTCGCGAACAACATGCACAATGGTACCTCATCTTGTAGGTGCCTAGTTAAGTTGTCCATAAATTCACTCGTCTCTCTGCTAGTGTCTCAAGACTCCTTTCTTTTTCAGCACCCACCAAATCAAATCTCGAGGTACTCTATGATAAAATTTCTCTAGATCAATAATGACCATGTGAAGGTCTTGGTCCTTCGCCCTAAACTTCTCAATTAGTTGCTCAAGTACAAAAATAGTCTCGGTTGTTGTTCACACTGGCATAAAACTGAATTAATTTTCTGATGCATTTGTTTCATGCTTTAGTCGTTGTTAAATCAGTCTCTCCCACAACTTCATTGTGTGGCACATAAGTTTGATCCCTTGATAGGTCACACAATTCTGTATGTCTCATTTGTTCTTGTAAATAGCTACCACAACACTTTTCTTCTATCCGTCTGATATTTTCTTTGTTCTCAACACCTTGTTGAACAACTTGTTCAGCTGGTCAACTCCAATCTCTCCTATGTACTTCCAAACCTCTATTGAAATACCATCTAGTCTTAAAGCCTTTCCTATCTTCATCATCTTCAAAGCTTCTTTCACTTCTAATATCCTAATCCTACGGATGTATTTATGACCTACACTCTCATTTATGTCAATGGTTCCCTCTACTGTTATGTTCCCATTGTGTTCGTTATTTGATAATTTTTTAAAATAAACTCTTCACCTTTCGTTAAAATATTAACAATAAGGTTATGTATTGTTTCTTAGGAGTATTTTATCAAAATTTTTGAATTTTGGGTGGTTTCATTCATATTTTCAAACGTAGTGATGTTACATGTTATTAAATTTCTATGTGCTTATAAGAAAACCGAATACAGGGGAGAAGTCCAAATTCAACATGCTGTAGGAATAAGATTTCCTTATATAACCCCTAACTCCTCGTGGATTAGAAGGCATGTACAGACCCCAATTTTCTTGGCCGATATTGGTTTAAGAGAGACCTTAATGGCATCTTGGATTTTAGAAACCTTGATGTTAATTCTATTGGTCCCAATTAGCCCAGATTCTATGACATTTGGGGAGCAATCAATTAGGTCTCAAAAACTGTTGACATGAGTCACACTCTATCAATGAGTGACTTTTGTGTGCAGAAATATTGAGGAAGCCTGGTCATAGGTGTACTTGAAATTTTCTGTTTAAGAGGCCCTAATTGACAATCCTACAACAGAACTTGTTTGGAAATTTGCAGAATCCTGCTTGGGGTATAGAGGCCAATGGTGGCAGTTGTATGATCCTTACTTCTTAGCTCGTAATAAGCAAGTAGGTCATGAAGCGGATGGTTTCCTTCAAAGCCTAAGGGTTTGCCAAAGTGTTGTTGGGAACCTGACAGCATCGAGATTTTCTTTCTTTCCCTCCTACCCTTTGAATCTGGTGCAGTTATTTCAGAAGATGTCTTTATGTGGCTTAATTTTGGTGAGAAGCAGAAACTATTATATATGAAGCAGTGGCTTTGTGAAAGGGGGGATGGGGGTGGGGGGGGGGGGGGGGGGGAAAGCACAAAGAGTAAATTTGTCTGTACTCCAGGAGATACCTCTTTCCTGTTTGTGATAAAGACTAAATTTATCTATACCTGCAAATGGAGCTCATGCCTATTGCTGCCTGATCTGTAGAGTTGTTTGTGTTTTACTGCACATTGAAACACAATTGACTGTTTAACACCTCCTAGTTTACCTACAAAGCACTGTTTAGATCTGAGAACCCTTAGTAATTTTTTATTCTGACAGTCATTAAAATATTGATGTCGACCAAGGGGAGTTGGCTCATACATGAGGGGAATGCGCAAGGTTGGTATAGAAAGAAAGGGTTATGATAAGAATTCTGATTAGTTAAAGATCTAGAAGTTCTAAAGGACTTTTTGTTCCTTCAAGGATGAGGACAGCAGGTGAGGTCTTCTATATTGAGTAGGAGTAGAAGATACAAGCGTAAATGTGGTAAGACTTAGGCTGGATTTATGTGGAGGGCTAGTGCAATAGTAATGGTTTGGCTTAAGGGTGTTAGGGGTAGGAATATCTTGCTGTCCAGCAGATATGATGATGGTCGCATAGGAAACCTAGAGTTTATACTTGGTTTTGAAGGCTGTTTGGATTATATTGAGAGGCCAATGTTACATGTGAAATCAAATGCCCATGAACCTACCCTTTTCTGGAAGATTGATGATAAGTAGCTTGGCGTGGACTGGAAGAGGTGGCCTATTGATGAGGAAATGGAAACCTAACAATATAGGGATTCCTGTAGGATACAAGATGATATGCTTTGTTCCAAGTTATAAATAGTTGTCGGAAGAATGGATTTGCCGGGAGCATGGAACAAAGCCAAGTGACCTTTTCTGTTTGTTGCAAGATCTGCTGCCAGAAAGATAACCTTCCAACGAGAATGAGATCATGACAGTAAGGTTAACTTATGATTTATTTGGTCTGTGATTGCACCATATGCATCCTCTGTGGTTCTCAACAGTATTCAGCGGCATAAGAGTCAAGTTATGACTTACGCGAGTCTACTGCACTCATGAATCAAGCCGGTAGATTCATTGAGGACTGTGGTTTTTGACAAATTTCAGAAGGCTCTTCTGGGCGCTCATGCTACCTATTTTGAGGTTCAATTGTAGGCTGCATCTCCCATGCTGTATGTTACTAAATTGATACTCCCCAAGAATTTTGAAATTCCTGCTTTGAAAGTATATGTTTAAAACTAATTGGCAAGACGGTCAAAACAGAAAAAACTGGTGGTCCAAAGAGAGAAATCCTTTTATTTTATCCTGTTGATATGTGCATCTCCTGCTGGTCTACTTTTTTTACCATTAAGATTATTTTTATGTAGCTCTACTTTTGACTTTTTTTGCTACCTCATTCAGATTCCATATACCAATGGTCAAACCCTTGCATGCAGAATGCCTGGAGCTTTTACGAGTAACCCATGTAACCAATATAAATCTACCTTCGAATATTTCTCTTCTTTACTGATTAATTCTGTATTACAGAATAAAACTGGTACTGTAAGATTGGGGAACTAGGATCTATCTTGGAAAACCAGATCCGATCAGATGACATATTTATTCTTTCTTATGATAAAACTTCTAAATTTCTGAAATTATCGTTTAGTAATTTAAACGTGATACTTTTCAGGAAACCACTTATACTTATCGAGTGCTTGTGTGAGCATATCAATGGAGAGGTAGAGAGAATGGAAAGTAAATCCTAGTTGAAAAGCATGCAGTGAGATTTTCACCTAATATTTCGCTTGACGAGGCTTCTGTTCACCCGAATGCAGGTTCTCTCATCATCCTACTCCAAGACTCAGGGCAGCAGTCAAATTACAAGGTCAAGGGGTTGAGTTGCAACCTGCGAAAGCCTGAACTTTAGCTAAGTGCCTACGGTTCTGTTCTGCTGGGACCTTTGCATACCTCATTTTGTTTCTGATTTGTCTCTTTTTGTTTGGTCATAAAATTCATGTAATTGCAGATTTCTGTATATAGTTGGTGCCTCCTGACAGTATGTTACAGGAAAATGGAACTTTATGGGACCAACCAACATTTTGTATATTTTCTCCGTTTCAGTTGCAAATATTTGTCGTTCCATATGTAAGAAAACTCCATGCATCTGTATATAAATTGGACATGGTAAAGAACATCATATTGAGGAGCATGGGACTTAGCTCTATGCTCCAAATAAATAAACCACCACTTGTTTGCGTACAAAATATTACATTTTATTTGTAGCCTACTCGTTGGCTTCAACCAAAACAGGTTAAACAAAATTACGCATTCCATAGATATCACAAGTGAGTTTACTGCTGAACTACTAGAGAATGGCTTGTTCCCGCTTTGAAATATTAACTGGCACTAGAGGTCAAGGAATCCCTAAATGTGTGTGAAGGGCTATGTCTATTGTAAACCGAGGATCTCAATGTAGAAACCTATCAAAAGAATTCAAGGATTTCAGTAGCCATCCATGCATAATACAGTTAGAATATCCAACATCATTTAAGAAAATATATATGGAGAAGAATTTTTTTGTTGAACGAGATTAAAGATCACGAGTGCTCTGACTTGCTTCACCAATCTCATATCAATAATCTTTCTTTTCTTTGATTTTTTCTCCACGAAATAGATGTATGATGGATAGAAATCCACAAAGGGCTAATGTCTTGTTCCTAGTTTGAAATAATAATTGGCACTGGAGGCCAATGAATCCCCAAATGTGTGTGAAGGCGTGCTATATCTATTGTAAACCAAGGATCTCAATGTAGAAACCTATCAAAAGAACATATGTGCATAATGCAGTAAGAATATCCGTCATCATTTAAAAGAATATATGCAGAAGAATTTTTGTTTAACTAGATTAAAGATCATCAGTGCTCTGACTTGCTTCACCAATCTCATGTCAATAGGATACTTCAAGATGTGCATTTCCATGGAACTTGGTCAAAATATAGTCGTGGCCTCTAACTATTGCTGAATTCCCTTAGCCCCTCACCTCACAGCTCTCTCACTGAGTTGTTTAGTTCAGGGCCTCCATGCTTCTTGTCAACTCTGTTGACTCATGTGTCGTTCCATAAGAGGAAAGTATAATATTGTAACGAATGCATCGTGACTACCTAGTGGTCATCATCACCAATCTTCATGTGCCTACTTAGTAACACCATCACCAACATTATACAATCACCATCATCATTATCACAGTTATCAGGTTTCCACCAAGATCAATCGTCACCTTCATTGACATTACCATTGAATTGTTCAAGTCGCCACTCACTTCCGTAGTAAGAGTTGGGAAGGCCTAACCAAAACTTGAAGGCTTCGGCAGCTCGCTTCCGATCACTCCTACGATCCCTCCTGGCCTTGGATGCATGCTGACTAGTGAACATCCTTGAGTGCATCTCTACATATATCCGCTTGAACTTTGTTTTGTTAGGTGCAATCCCATTTTCTTCCATGCAAACCACAATCTCCAGGGCCTTCTTAAAGAATGCAGACCTCACACAAATATCAGCTAATGTATTGAGCAAGCCCTCATCAGGCTTTAGTGGTGGAGGCCCTTCACCTCCACCATCTTTGCACCTTTCCTTGATCTCATTCCAAAGCAACAAAGCTTCACCAGGCTTTCTAGCAATTGCTATGGCATTCGCAAGGCTACCATATGTAGCTAAATCCGGAACCATCCCATTCTCTTTTATCCTTAGAACGATACTCTTTGCCTCCTCAAATAGGCCCAACCTACAATACGCATCTAACAACATATTCCAAGCAACCATATCCACTTCAACCCTCGGATCCTTGAGCATTTCATCAAACACTTTTGAGGCCAATTTGGGCTTACCACTGGACGCAAAAGCCTTCATCAAGGTAGTGTAACTGATCTTGGAAGGTGCTATACCTTTGCTCCTCATCTCATTAAAATAGGATAGAGCCTTTGCACTGTCATCAATCACAATGCAGCCATCTATGAGAATGTTATAAGAAACAACATCGAGTTCGATGCCGGCCTCCTTCATGTCACCCACAAGGGCCTCCGCTTTCTTCATTTGAACGAGCCGGCAATAGCCCTTCAACAAGACATTGTAGGTGACTCTATTGGCAGGCACCTTCCTAGAAGCCATCTCACTAAGCATTGCTCGGGCTCGGTCCATTAAGCCCTCCCGTACCAATGCAGTCACCACTGTTGTATAAGTGACCTCATCAGGCTGGCTTGAATCCCTCTGTTTCTCCATTGTCTCAAGCAAGTCCATAACATCATTGAGCCTCCCTTGATGCATGTAGCCCTTCATCAGAGTGGTGTAGATTCTTGAATCAGGGTGATAGCTCTTGGGTAAGAGCAAAGGTGCTGAGGATGAATCATGAGAAATGTCGAGACCCAAACTCTCGATCATGCTTGAAATCTCATCAAACTCCATAGCGGTGGTGCGGGGGCTTCTCTCTCTAAGCAATGCACACACATCTTGCCGTCCCTCCGACATTGCTCTGACTAAAATCTCCGCCATTTCAAGATCCCCAAGCCCGACATAGGCTGCAACAAGTGAATGGAATGAAGTCGCGCATGGGGCCACTTTCATGGCCAACATTTTTTCCAGAACTGCAACTAACAACTCCTTCCTCTCGATCCTCGCAAAGAACTTGATCATTATATTATAAGTGAGTGCATCTGGAATGAGCTCAAACTTGGGCATACGAGAGAAAATTTCAACAAAATTCACAGCATCACCGGCATTAGCACAAGCATTTAGAACCGCATTAAATGCAGCTACATCAGGATAAGAGAGAGAAAGAAGCGCAGGTTCTGGACTTAAGCTGAGGTGCTCAAGGATAGAGTGGAAGAGCTTGAGGGCATCACGAGGAGTAGAGAGACGAGAGAGAACCGCGCTCCAAGCCTTGACATGAGGGAGATGGCCGATTGAGAGCATTGAATATATGATAGAGAGAGCAGGAGTGGGATGGCCAGCCTTGGCAGTGGCCATAGCAAGGAGGCCGAGGGCATTGGCATCTAGGCGGTGGACAAGCTGCTGTTTTCGAAGGCGGCTGAGGATAGAATGGGCACGCGTGAGGGCAAGGGGAGTGCCCTGATACGCCAGTTGGCATACCAGGCGGCTTAGGCATGTGGAGCTTGGAAGCTCAGCGTCGATGAATTGTTGGTAAGAAGTCCATGCCTTGTCAGTTTGACGATCTTTGAGGGCGGCAGAGAGTTGTTTGTTCAGATATAGTGTGTTTGAGGGCGTCGTGGTGGCTGAGGGGGCGACGCATTTTGGTGGGGTGGGGAGATGAGAGAGGGAGGGTGGTGGGGTGCGAGGGACTGGGTTTCTGAGGAAAGGAGAGCTCGTGATGAAGTAGCAGTCCATACAGCTGGTGATGAAGTAGCAGTCCATAGGCCTTCTCAGTCCATATTTATATTTTTCCTCAAAAACTATCTTGAGAGAGGGAGTGAGACTGTGTCTTCAACAGCTATCTATAAAAGGATTGGGTATAAAGCAACATGGCCTTGCATATCTAGAATTAAGCATGATGGGGGTTGCAGTTTCCACGTCGTTTGTTTTAGAGCCATGGCGTGGAGTTAGAAGAGAGTGAGTGATGCAATAAGCCTTTGTGTTCGCAGTGCTTTTAAGTGTTTTACATCCTCAAGAGAGAGAGGGAGAGAGATCCACGTAGGTTGGATTACAGCCAGTACCCTCCCATTGTGGCTGTAAGACTCCCCTCCAATTCCCTCTCTCAATATTGGAAATCCATGCTCGATGGAGATATTCATTCTAAAATATCTTACAAAGGTTTATACATCTCCCCCAAAAGATTTTGTACTCGCATGGGTATACGTTTCATTTTTTTATACTCCCATGGGAGTATATTGTTCTTTTATTCTCTCCGGTAAGACTCAATGTATGATTAATTTTAGGACCTCAAAATTTGGGAATGTAACCGATTCAAGCCATAGGCTAATCTTAATAAAAAATTATATACATATATGTTATAGTTTTTATTATTACGGCTCTACGAATACTTTCCGTTATTACTACCATGTCGGTATTTTTCATGTCAAACATAAATTAAAAAAAAAACCGATTGTATCCTTTTTGGGTTGTTGAACAATCGAATTCAAAGTATTTTCCGTTTAAAAAATTTTAAATTTTTGAATCTTCAAGAACGGAAAAATATTTTCTCTCTCTAGTGGCGTATTTTCTCTACCTCTCTAAAATCATAGTTATCCGATAAAGTCAAAGGGGAACAACTAGTTTGAGCCCCTAAATTTAGGAGAAATCTTAGGGATTATAAGATTAGACGATTAGGAGAAATCTTGTGGTATATTCTCTCTTTACCTCTTTGACATCATGGTAATCGATAACTTTCGGTTATTGAAGAACCGAAAATTTTAAATTTTAAAAATTTTTGGTTATTCAAAAACCGAAATTGGCCAGTTTTCGTTTGTTGAACAATCGAAAATACTTTGAATTCAGTTGTTCAATAACCGAAAAAATGTAAAGCCGTCTTTTTAAAAATTTCCATTTTGACATAAAGAAACGGCCATGGTGGTAATAACGGAATCTTTCGGTAGAGCTGTAATAACGGAAACCATAACGGATATGTATCTAATTTTTCTTTTTATTTTTCTAATTGCACTCTAAAAGTACTTAAAAAGATAGTGTCTCAAGATTGAATAGACACGGTCCAATTTTAAAATGGTGAGATCTAACGGCAAGAAAACACAAAATTCAAATTTTTTTTTAAGTGGTTCTTAAAAATTTAGATTGAAAAAAATATCTTCTAGATGAGGGAGTAGGTATACACTATGCCCCCGCAGGAGAATATTATATACGCCTAAATATTTATTCTCGATGGTAAAGTCACTCACATGTAAGAGTTTTTTTTTTAAAGGGAAAAATATACTCTCTCACTTTGTGCTCTCTCACTTCTTTTTTTTTTAGATTTTATATTTTTTGGTTTGCAATTTATTTTCTTCATTCTACCTCATAAATCGATATCAAAGCTTTAGAAGTTCCATCTATCACAATGCTCCAAAGCTGCTCTTTTGATCAAGGATATATTGTCACAAATCATAGAGGATGTGATCAACAAATTAAAGAGAGCATGAATCAAGCCGTGGAAGGTATATGAATACAAATTGGTGAAGTTTGAGGAGAGATCAACGAACTATGATGAGAGAATGGTGATTTGATGTAGAGCGATCATTCCTTTGCCTTAAGAAAGCTTGATCGAGAGACACTCGTTTGAATGAATTTTGAAGTCTGATTGGAGAATTTAAGGGGGTTAGAGGCGCAGATCCCTATGGTGATTCATGGACTATTTGGATGATACGACTTAGGTCCGATTATGTCCTTTTGTTTTTTTTGAGGGCTTGAAGAAACCTTGCTAGCGTTCTTGGATTTTCAGTGAGGTTTTAGGGTCCTTAGGGTCAGTGTTCAAATGTCTAGGTTCAAGGATAAAATGGTAAAATTGGGATTAGGGTTCGGGTTCAAAATAGTAGGGTCCCTAAGAATGTCAGGAAAAATTCAGTGGTGAAGTCTTAGTGGTTGGACCCTCGAGTCCTTGCATTCTGGGGGTACCATTTTGCTTACACAAGGCTATGAGGATATGGTTTACTAGTGTTAGCCAGACGATCTCTAAGTTAACTACATGATATGTTTTTATGCAAGGTGGTGGGGATGTTTCTTGGTGATCAATTGGTGCAAATGATAACAATCAGTTAATCAAAATTGTATTTTTATTTTTCTAATTTGATTTTCATAGGATAAAGGTACTTTTTATTTATTTATTTAAGGGCTAATCTTTAGAAATTATACAATGGGATAGGATAGCTAATTTCCTATTTTCATGAAAGTAATGTGATTTGCTTTCATGGATTTGGTTTGGGGGGGCGGGGACATAGATAAGGTTGGGAGCTTCCTACCAAATAGCAAGAGATCAACATGAGATTGAGAAAAGAAGTTGCATGGAATTTGAGTACTTAGAGAGGCCAGAAAGACATTGGTGCTCTCCTGTTCTATCCTTCCTTCTTTCTTTCTCCTTCTACTCTCTCTCAAGCTCTCACCTTCTCTTGAAGTATTATGGGGAAGTTCGGTTGGAGAGAATCTCTTTCTGGTGGGGGAAGCAACCATGCTAGCTCTAATCAGGGTTCTAGGCCTATTCAAAGCAAACATAGTGGACACCCTGTTGGTGGAGTGGGTAGTTCTTCTGGTGTGGTTAATGCTGCCCTAAACCACAAGGTTAGCGGCCCCAATGGCTCATGAAACTCCAATTCTAGTCGGGGTTCTAGGGCTCCTACAAGATATCGTGGTGGTGATCCTTGTGGGGGCTCTGGTGGTGGTTTTACTTCGGGCTCTGCTGGCCTTAGCAAGAAGGCTTTGGGTCCTAAAGGTTCGTAGAGCTCATCGACTTCTAGTAACTGGAAGGAGGTTTGTTTTGGAGTTGGGCATTCCTTTATGGGTTACGTGGTTAGCGAACTCGGCATAGGTATGAGGAGATAGCTCAGTTAGCCTTTAAGGGGGCTAAGGTTATTGATGTTAATGCTAATGCCATGGAAACTTGGTCCAGGCACCTAAGCAAAGCTCTGGTGTGCTCTTTCTATCCACCAGTGGAGGATTTAAGCATGCTTCAAGATTAGGCTATCCACACCGGGGGTTGCCCTTTGACTTGCAGAGTCCTTCCAAATCATAGAACCTTAATCTTGTTTGAAAACCATGGCGATGCGGGGAGAGCACTTAAACAACATTTCCGGAGATTCAAAGGGGTGCTTATGATGGTAGAGAAATGGTCAATACATGATAATGCTTATTTAATTCGAACCGTTGTGGTTTAAGTTAAGTTCTAAGCATCCCTATCCATGCTTGGACTAAAGATGTTTTCACCCTCATTACTCAACAATGTGGTGGACTGCTAGAGATAGATTGGTTCACCACGGCTGGTTCGAGATTCGGTGAATCATCTAAATGGAAGGACTTGAGATCTTCAAAAAGCCCACCGCATTTGGCTGCCTCTTCAATCTTAACATGTGCAGTTTCCCTGAGTAGTGTTTTTGAAATGTCGCCGCCTTCGGCTGATGCTACAGTGCAGGTTGACGTGGAGCATTCGACGGTGTGGAGGATTGAGTCGGACCCTAGTATCGCATCTTAGAGGTTCGATGTTAAAGAAGTGGGGCCCTACGTTCCTATGGTGGTTGGTTTGGAGGCAACGGGTGTTTGAGGACGTAATAGATAACTTTGAAAAGGTACCATCTCCCCACTTTTGGCCACCTTCTAAATCTAACATCCAAGATTTGGTATCAGTTAGATCTTTTCCTTCCTCTTTAAGTCTTGACCTAAGGCACTACTCGCTTCTCTGGTCTGCTCTCTCCTCTTTTGCTCTATTCTTTTTGCTTCACCGCCTTCTCTGTGCAAGACATCCTTTAACTATGGCTCAGAGAATTTCCATTATGGATGTTGCGGAAAAAGAGGATGTCGCCTTGTCGGACCCTTTCAATGCCCCTGCAAATATCATATGTATGTCTCTGTCTGCTTGGGAAGATGGCAGGGCTTGGGATTTCTTAACCCTGAAAATCCCTCCATAATAGCTACTGATGTGCAACATACCAAAGGCCTCCTTTTAGCCTCTATCCCCAAGGTTTCTGTGGCACCTCCTATCCTTGTGACGGAATCCTCGGATTCATCAGAGGACGACCTCCCTCCTGAGGATGCTAACTAGTCCATTAAGAAATTCAAGAGGACAGTCACTTGTGAATGTGCTAATAAGATGTTGGAGGGCATCTGTGTCAAATTGAAAGGGCAGATTAGGTTCATTGAGGAGTCACTTGAAGAAAATGATGCCCTTGTGGTCAACAACCCTTATCCAAGAAGGACTCGCAAGACTAGAGATGGCTTCGTATCCAACCGCATGTCAAAGCCATCTTTTCTCCGAATAAAGCAACCTTGTCCTACCCATACCTAGTTGAGGACTTGTCCTACCCATACCTAGATGGTCTACCTTGAAAGATGTTTGTTTTAGAGCCGTGGGTTGGAGTTAGAAGAGAATGGATGATGCAGTAAGCCTTTGTATTCGTAGAGCAATTCATGCTCAAAGTTTGTGAAAATGGGCGGTTTACACATCCTCAATAGAGAGATCCACATGGGTTTGATCACAGCCAATGCTCTGTCCTTGTGGCTATAACGTCTGACTCGTCATCCAATTCCCAGTTTCAATATTGGAAATCCACGATGGACGGAGATGATTGGTTCTCAAAATATCTTGCAAAGGGTTATGTATCTTGCCAAAAGATTTTATACTCCCATTGGAGTATACGGTTCGTTTTTTTATGCTCCCATGGGAGTATACTATTCTTTTATTCCCTCAGGTAAGACTCAATCTAAGATTAATTTCTATTTGATGGTCCAATATCTGACGGTCCTATGGTTGGTTAGTTTCTGACTGCAGCTCAGAGCGGTTTCCACATGCTCAACAGAGAGATCCACGTGGGTTGGATTACTGCCAATGTTCTGCCATTGTGGCTGTAAAGTCCGAATTGCCATCAAATTCTTGATTTCAATATGGGAAATCGACGATGGACGAAGATGATTGATTATCAAAATATCTTGCAAAGCGTTATTGTCACACCCC